TCCTTAGGCCGCTTGATAAAACCCTTTCCGAACAACAAAAGGCCACTTTGGACAGACCACTTTCCAAGGAGGAAATATGGACGACACTGATGCAAATGTAAGAGGAAAAAACTCCGGGCATTGACGGCCTGCCAAAGGAATTTTGGGAGACCATGTGGGCCAGTATATCACAGGATCTGATGGACTACTACAATGCGGTATGGAATACAGGTCAAACAGGGGAATTGCTGGGGCAAGGAGTGCTGACACTGCTCTATAAAAAAGGGGCAAGCACAAACATACGTAACTATAGGCCGATCACCCTGCTAACGGTTGTCTACAAAATGATGGTCAAAGCCCTCGCAAATCGACTAACACCTGTAATGGCCGACATCATACACCCCGACCAAACGGGATTTATCCAAGGTAGAAATATCCACGACAACATCCTCCTGGTCAATGAGATGATCAAACTAACAAGGCAGTCTAAGAGCAATGCAGCAATCATTTTCATTGACTTCGAAAAGGCCTACGATCACGTAGACTGGCGCTTCTTAGATATGTGCTTGGAAAAACTTAACTTTGGCCCTTCCTTTAGGAGATGGATCACGATCCTTCACGCCAACGCCACCACCAGAGTTATGGTAAATGGCAACCTGGCCTCGCCCATATCCCTCCAAAGATCAGTGAGGCAGGGTGATCCAATAGCCCCTTATCTGTTTGTCATCATTATGGAAGCACTTGCGGCCAATTTGAGAACACACAAGGATATAAAAAGAATCCAAATCTCTGCAATCCCCCAGGAGGCCGTCCCGGTATGCTCACTTTTTGCTGACGATCTAACCCTCATGGTGGATGCATCAAGAGAATCACTGGAAGAAGTAAAAAACATGATGGACCGCTTCTCGCAATATTCAGACATGAGAATCAACTGGGGAAACAAAACTCAAGGATGGTGGATACACCACCAAGGGGTGAGACCACCAGAACAACCCAAACTCAACTGGCTTCCGCAGGAAGCGCCCATCAGAGTGTTGGGGATCTCACTATCAGCAGAAGGCAGACCACCTTCCAACAACGAATGGATCACTGGCCCACCTTTGGCAAAAATGGCGCTTTGGAAGGACAAACATACTTCCCTATTCGGACGCTCCTTGATAATTAACAACGTGGTGTTGGCCACATTGTGGTATAAATCGACAATCTGGGCACTGGATAAGAACGACTTACGGCCCCTGAAACGACAGATCGCTGCCTTCTAATGGAGAGGTGACCACGAGAAACAGAACGTGATTAGCCGAGTGGCGGTGCACTCCATCATCCAGCCCAAAACACACGGGGGCCTGGGTATCATTGACCCCTTGCTCCAAACAAAAGCGCTAGCAATCCAATGGCTCAAACGCCTGCTCTTTGACCTAGAAATCCCGTGGAAAAGCCTGGCTCTAGAACAAATAGCCCGTCTGGCCCCACAGACATCGGACGTCAAGGACCCTCTGATGTGGCTAGAAAATAGAGATTGGCCAATCCCTAGAGCAACAGTACAGCCACAGGATTGCGGCCCAGAGGACCCAAGACGAGCAACAAGGTATGATCTGCGAAAGGACCCCTTCTGGCCCAACCTTCTTAGAACATGGAGAAGCCTCCCCCTCCCGGACAAATGCCCTCCAGACAGATGGGAAGAAGTGGCACGTCAACCGTTGTTTGGTAATAGATGGGTGGTGAATTCAAGAGGTCAGGTCCTTCACTGTATGGACTCTCCCTGGCGAGGCTGGGTCACAAGAGGAATGACAAGGATAAAGGACATATGGGACACAGCAAACAACGGCTGGATCAGTCCAGACGAGCTAAGGGAGCGATTACGATACTGCCACCGGCCACAAGAAGCCCTGGACGAGATCGTAGACAAAATACCGCTGGAATGGTGGCGGCTTTTGCGCAAAGGCCCGTCACTGCAGCAATCAGACTGGGTAGCGGTCCGGGATATACAAGGAAAGGTAGGGAACATGGTAAGCTGTCACCCTGATGGAACAGTGGTGGCAAGTCTCTTTCAAATAGAGGTAATGTCATAGAAAAAAGCAACCCAGAGGAGATAGGGATATACCAGAAAGGTGACGTCTTCAGAATCAGAGTGTTGAGGGAGGGGGAGCAATGGGTAGTCTTCCTTCCCTCCACACCAATCCACCACTTGCCTCTGGACCCGGCGGAATGGACATGGACAACCCGTACAGGGAAGGGCAGGTGCCACACCAAGACCTTGTATAGTCTCACAGTTAAATCCACCTACAGATTTCTCAGGCCAAAGATCAATCTCCGAGATCAGGTTGAAGAGCGATGGAGAAACTGGTTGAATATCTCCAAAGAAGAGATGAGGCCAATCAAATGGCTTAGTACAACCAAAATGAAACCCACCAAGTTCGCCTCGCTTCAATGGCAGATTGCGCATCGTTGCCTACCAACCAACAACTGGCTCATAGACTAAACATCTCTAGAACAGAAAGGGTTAGCCTTACCATGGTGCAAGCTGTGCGCAAATGCATTCCCATCCGGAAAACGCCCGGAGACAATCGAGCACATATTTCTACAATGCCCGGGCGCCTTCTGGCTGTGGAGGTGGTGGGACAGAATCTGGGACCAACTTCAGGCAAAAATGGTGTGGCCCTGGGACTGGAGAGCCCTGCTATGTGAATTCGAGGCCGTGGGGCAGGCGGACCCCCCTGATGAATTTACTACTAATTTGTTTAAGTTAGGACGCAGGGCGGTGCTCTGGGCATTATGGCGAAGACGCTGCACATACGAGATGGAAGGAGCAAGACTAGAAGGACCTTCAATTTACAGAAAGTGTGCAACAACAGATTCAAATCAAAATAACGGCAAATTGGGAACACGTCAGAACACAAATCCGCTCTCTAAACACAATCAAAGACATCGAGCAAAGAATCCAAGCATTCTCGTCAAGCTGGCTGGGGGGGATTACCGGTGGGAAGATATGGAAAGTGGAATGGGAAGGGGCCAAACAGGAAGTTGCGGAGGGCCAAGAGAGGATTGAAAGACAAAGGGATTACCAACTGATTTTCCACAACTGGGCGGACATTGACACAGCTATCCCACTGAAGCCCCCGGAAAACTTCCATGATTTCTTCCCCTCCCCTTCGAATTGCCTAGTAGGAGTGCAGTGGTATGGAATGGATGGTTGACTTGTGGCAAAAAAGGGGGAAGGGGGAGGGTCAGGTACCAGTGTCTGCTGCAATAGAGGGGGAGATGAGGATAGGTAGCCAATCTGGTCAGGCGCCCAGAAGCAGGGTGAAGAGTCCTCCTGGTTAGAAGCTCCCCCTCAACCCCATCTCCCACTTACTTCTCCTGTTCCGAGGTCTACATCACTACGATTAACATAGGCCTGCTTAGTAAATCCCCTGGAGACAAGGCAATCAATGCTGGAAGGCCTCACAATCACTGTTTTTACTGTTCTCAGGTACCCTCATCTTGTATAAGGGACGCAGGACCCGTTTTCCAGCAGGTGATGCTCCCCACCAATAGAGGGAGCCTCCCCCCTAGTGGTGTCTGCTCTTACCAGCACCACTAACACTGAAGGGGACATTTCAAAAAAAAAAAAAAAAAAAAAAAAAAAAAA